GTGGTGGTGATGGTTGTACTGTCTGATGTGTGTGGTACAGGGTGATGTTGGTGATGGGTGTACTGTCTGATATGTGGAGTGCAGGGTGATGGTGGTGATGGCTGTACTGTCTGATGTGTGCAGTACATGTTGATGGTGGTGAAGGGTGTACTCTCTGATGTGTGTAGTACATTTTGATGGTGGTGATGGCTGTCCTGTCTGATGTGTGTGGTACAGGGTGATGGTGGTGATGGGTGTACTGTCTGATGTGTGCAGTACATCGTGATGGTTTTGATGGGTGTACTGTCTGATGTGTGTAGTACAGGGTGGTGGGTGTACTGTCTGATGTGTGTAGTACAGGATGATTGTTTTGATGGGTGTACTGTCTGGTGTGTGTAGTACAGGGTGATGGTGGTGATGGGTGTACTGTCTGATGTGTGCAGTACATGTTCATTGTTTTGATGGGTGTACTGTCTGATGTGTGTAGTACAGGGTGGTGGGTGTACTGTCTGATGTGTGTAGTACAGGGTGATTGTTTTGATGGGTGTACTGTCTGGTGTGTGTAGTACAGGGTGATGGTGGTGATGGGTGTATTGTCTGATTTGTGTAGTACAGGGTGATGTGTGTACTGTCTGATGTGTGTAGTACAGGGTGGTGGGTGTACTGTCTGATGTGTGTCGACAGGGTGATGGTGGTGATGGGTGTACTGTCTGATGTGTGTCGTACAGGGTGGTGGGTGTACTGTCTGATGTGTGTAGTACAGCATGGTGGGTGTACTGTCTGATGTGTGCAGTACAGGGTGATGGTTTTGATGGGTGTACTGTCTGATGTGTGTAGTGCAGGGTGGTGGGTGTACTGTCTGATGTGTGTAGTACAGGGTAATGATGGTGATGGGTGTACTGTCTGATGTGTGTAGTACAGGGTGATGGTGCTGATAGGTGTATTGTTTAAGTGTGTGTAATGAGTACAGGGTGATGTGTGTACTGTCTGATGTGTGTAATAGTACAGGGGTGATGCTTGTGATGGCTGTTCTGTCTGATGTGTTTAGTGCACAGTTATGGTGATAATGGGTGTACTGTATCATGTAATGTGTAGTGCAGGGTGATGGTGGTGATGGGTGTACTGTCTGATGTGTGTGTAGTACAGGGTGATGGGTGTATTGTCTGATGTGTGTAGTACAGGGTGGTGGGTGTACTGTCTGATGTGCGTAGTACAGGGTGATGGTTGTGATGGCTGTACTGTCTGATGTGTTTAGTGCAGGGTTATGGTGGTAATGGGTGTACTGTATCATGTGTGTAGTGCAGGGCGATGGTGGTGATGGGTGTACTGTCTGATGTGTGTAGTACAGGGTGATGTGTGTACTGTCTGATGTGTGTAGTACAGGGTGGTGGGTGTACTGCCTGATGTGTGCAATACAGGGTGATGGTTTGATGGGTGTACTGTCTGATGTGTGTAGTACAGGGTGGTGGGTGTACTGTCTGATGTGTGTAGTACAGGGTGATGGTGGTGATGGGTGTACTGTCTGATGTGTGTAGTACAGGGTGATGTGTGTACTGTCTGATGTGTGTAGTACAGCATGGTGGGTGTACTGTCTGATGTGTGCAGTACAGGGTGATGGTTTGATGGGTGTACTGTCTGATGTGTGTAGTGCAGGGTGGTGGGTGTACTGTCTGATGTGTGTAGTACAGGGTAATGATGGTGATGGGTGTACTGTCTGATGTGTGTAGTACAGGGTGATGGTGCTGATGGGTGTATTGTTTAGTGTGTGTAGTACAGGGTGATGTGTGTACTGTCTGATGTGTGTAGTACAGGGTGATGCTTGTGATGGCTGTACTGTCTGATGTGTTTAGTGCACGGTTATGGTGATAATGGGTGTACTGTATCATGTGTGTAGTGCAGGGTGATGGTGGTGATGGAGTGTACTGTCTGATGTGTGTGTAGTACAGGGTGATGTGTGTACTCTGATGTTTGCATCTGATGTGTGTAGTACAGTAATAAATTGGTGGGTGTACTGTCTGATGTGCGTAGTACAGGGTGATGGTTGTGATGGCTGTACTGTCTGATGTGTTTAGTGCAGAGTTATGGTGGTAATGGGTGTACTGTATCATGTGTGTGAGTGCAGGGCGATGGTGGTGATGGGTGTACTGTCTGATGTGTGTAGTACAGGGTGATGTGTGTACTGTCTGTGTGTAGTACAGGGTGGTGGGTGTACTGCCTGATGTACCAATACAGGGTGATGGTTTTGATGTGTGTACTGTCTGATGTGTGTGTGAGTACAGGGTGGTGGGTGTACTGTCTGATGTGTGTAGTACAGGGTGATGATGGTGGTGATGGGTGTACTGTCTGATGTGTGTAGTACAGGGTGATGTGTGTACTGTCTGATGTGTGTAGTACAGGGTAATGGTTGTGATGGCTGTTCTGTCTGATGTGTTTAGTGCAGGGTTATGGTGATAATGGGTGTACTGTATCATGTGTGTAGTACAGGGTGATGGTGGTGATGGGTGTACTGTCTGATGTGTGTAGTACAGGGTGAGGGTGATCAGTGTTCTGTCTGATGTGTGTAGTACAGGGTGATGTGTGTTCTGTCTGATGTGTGTAGTGCAGGGTGATGGTGGTGATGGGTGTACTGTCTGATGTGTGTAGTACAGGGTGATTGTAATGATGAGTGTACTGTCTGTCTGTAGTACAGGGTGATGGTGGTGATGGGTGTACAGTCTGATGTCTGTAGTACAGGGTGATGGTGATGATGGGTGTAGTGTCTGATGTGTGTATTGCAGGGTGATAGGTGTACTGTCTGATGTCTGTAGTACAGTACAGTGTGGGTGTATGATGTACAGGGTAGTGATGGCTGTTCTGTCTGATGTGTGTAGTACAGGGTAATGGTTGTGATGGCTGTTCTGTCTGATGTGTTTAGTGCAGGGTTATGGTGATAATGGGTGTACTGTCTGATGTGTGTAGTACAGGGTGATGGTGGTGATGGGTGTACTGTCTGATGTGTGTAGTACAGGGTGATGGTGGTGATGGGTGTACTGTCTGATGTGTGTAGTACAGGGTGATGGTGGTGATGGGTGTACTGTATCATGTGTGTAGTACAGGGTGATGGTGGTGATGGGTGTACTGTCTGATGTGTGTAGTACAGGGTGATGGTGGTGATGGGTGTACTGTATCATGTGTGTAGTACAGGGTGATGGTGGTGATGGGTGTACTGTCTGATGTGTGTAGTACAGGGTGATGGTGGTGATGGGTGTACTGTCTGATGTGTGTAGTACAGGGTGATGGTGGTGATGGGTGTATTGTCTGATGTGTGTAGTACAGGGTGATGTGTGTACTGTCTGATGTGTGTAGTACAGGGTGATGATTGTGATGACTGTACTGTCTGATGTGTGTCGTACAGGGTGATGGTGGTGATGGGTGTACTGTCTGATGTGTGTAGTACAGGGTGATCGGTGTACTGTCTGATGTGTGTAGTACAGGGTGGTGGGTGTACTGTCTGATGTGTGCAGTACATGTTTATGGTGGTGATGGGTGTACTGTCTGATGTGTGTAGTACAGGGTGGTGGATGTACTGCCTGATGTGTGCAATACAGGGTGATGGTTTTGATGGGTGTACTGTCTGATGTGTGTAGTACAGGGTGGTGGGTGTACTGTCTGATGTGTGTAGTGCAGGGTGATGGTGGTGATGGGTGTACTGTCTGATGTGTGTAGTACAGGGTGATGTGTGTACTGTCTGATGTGTGTAGTACAGGGTAATGGTTGTGATGGCTGTTCTGTCTGATGTGTTTAGTGCAGGGTTATGGTGATAATGGGTGTACTGTATCATGTGTGTAGTGCAGGGTGATGGTGGTGATGGGTGTACTGTCTGATGTGTGTAGTACAGGGTGATCGGTGTTCTGTCTGATGTGTGTAGTACAGGGTGATGTGTGTTCTGTCTGATGTGTGTAGTGCAGGGTGATGGTGGTGATGGGTGTACTGTCTGATGTGTGTAGTACAGGGTGATTGTAATGATGAGTGTACTGTCTGTCTGTAGTACAGGGTGATGGTGGTGATGGGTGTACAGTCTGATGTCTGTAGTACAGGGTGATGGTGATGATGGGTGTACTGTCTGATGTGTGTATTGCAGGGTGATAGGTGTACTGTCTGATGTCTGTAGTACAGGGTGATGGTGATGATGGGTGTACTGTCTCTCTGTAGTACAGTGTGATGGTGGTGATGGGTGTACTGTCTGATGTGTGTAGTACAGGGTGATGGTGATGATGGGTGTACTGTCTGTCTGTAGTACAGGGTGATGGTGGTGATGGGTGTACTGTCTGATGTCTGTGAGTACAGGGTGATGGTGATGATGGTATCAATGGATTCTATGTCTGATCGGTAATGGCATGGAGAATGTCAAGTTACAAAAATACCCGATCATTCTGAGGAAAATATTTTCTTGGTCAGTAATAAATCCCATGCATTCAACATTCACAATCCATGTATAGAACGTTCTCAAACCTCTTGCTAGTTGTGACATTCACAATCCATGTATAGAACATTCTCAAAACCTCTTGCCAGTTGTGACATTCACAATCCATGTATAGAACCTTCTCAAACCTCTTGCCAGTTGTGACATTCACAATCCATGTATAGAAACGTTCTCAATCCTCTTGCCAGTTGTGACATTCACAATCCATGTATAGAACGTTCTCAAACCTCTTGCCACTTGTGACATTCACAATCCATGTATAGAACGTTCTCAAACCTTTTGCCAGTTGTGACATTCACACATGTACTGCTGTCTGATTCGTTTTTTTTTAAATCATAAAATCATAAAAAGAAATCCGTTTCTTGCAGATGTTTATGTTCAGGAGGTCAACTGAACATACAGATGAGAAATGAAACAATATCAATTTGTTTGACATGTAACTCCATCAGTTTCAGGCAAGTGCCATTACTTGCGGTGCTGTGTGCTAGAAGTGGTCAACCATTATTACCTGGGAAGTTGAGTGCCATTACTTCCGGTGCTGTGTGCTAGAAGTGGTCAACCATTATTACCTGGGAAGTTGGAGAATAAACAAGTGCCATTACTTCCGGTGCTGTGTGCTAGCAGTGGTCAACCATTATTACCTGGGATGTTGGAGAATAGACAAGTGCCATTACTTGCGGTGCTGTGTGCTAGCAGTGGTCAACCATTATTACCTGGAATGTTGGAGAACAGACAAGTGCCATTACTTCCGGTGCTGTGTGCTAGCAGTGGTCAACCATTATTACCTGAGATGTTGGAGAATAGACACGTGCCATTACTTCCGGTGCTGTGTGCTAGCAGTGGTCAACCATTATTACCTGAGATGTTGGAGAATAGACACGTGCCATTACTTCCGGTGCTGTGTGCTAGCAGTGGTCAACCATTATTACCTGGGAAGTTGAGTGCCATTACTTCCGGTGCTGTGTGCTAGCAGTGGTCAGCCATTATTACCTGGGATGTTGGAGAATAGACAAGTGCCATTACTTCCGGTGCTGTGTGCTAGAAGTGGTCAACCATTATTACCTGGGATGTTGGAGAATAGACAAGTGCCATTACTTGCGGTGCTGTGTGCTAGCAGTGGTCAACCATTATTACCTGGGATGTTGGAGAATAGACACGTGCCATTATTACTTCGGTGCTGTGTGCTAGCAGTGGTCAACCATTATTACCTGGGATGTTGGAGAATAGACACCGTGCCATTACTTGCAGTGCTGTGTGCTAGCAGTGGTCAACCATTATTACCTGGGATGTTGGAGAATGGGCAGACGTTGCCATTACTGCGGTGCTGTGTGCTAGCAGTGGTCAACCATTATTACCTGGGATGTTGGAGAATAGACACGTGCCATTGCTTCGGTGTGCTGTGTGCTAGCGGTGGTCAACCATTATTACCTGGGATGTTGGAGAATAGACACGTGCCATTACTTGCAGTGCTGTGTGCTGGCAGTGGTCAACCATTATTACCTGGGATGTTGGAGAATAGACGTGCCATTACTGCGGTGCTGTGTGCTAGCAGTGGTCAACCATTATTACCTGGGATGTTGGAGAATAGACACGTGCCATTGCTTCCCGGTGCTGTGTGCTAGCAGTGGTCAACCATTATTACCTGGAATGTTGGAGAATGTTTTCATCATGTGACTACAGTAAGCACACCATGCCAAGAAGCTTGACAGGCAATCCACCACACATGCAAGGTGAGAGCAAGGTCAGTGTATTCACTAGCAATGGTGGGAGACCTATATTACCGTGACACCTGAGGCTTCTATTCATAGGCAAGATGTGATGTCACTTAGAATTCTGTATTTCATTTTGTATGCAGAAAACGTCAAAATGTTCACTTATGATTTTTTTAATGGAATGCAAGCCTCAAAGTTTAATTTGCAACCAAGCAACCATGTGCTACAACTACGTCATTCCATATATTCTCTACATCTTTAACAGTGTAACTACCACTACAAACTCTGTCCGGCCCAGCAAGTGCAGATTGTGTACAGCAACACACACAAGTCATAGGACACATATTTTAGATATGAATATTGTTGAATCTTGCTTATTGGGACACTTGCTTTTCCTCTCATTTAATCTGTATAAATAGTTTTGGGATAGCTGTATCTCGACTGTTGACCCACTTACCCAAGTTCTATGGAAGCAAAAATCCTCTACTGTATAATGCTTAAGATCATGTGAGTATTTTGCGAAGTCAAAATTTAATTGTCATATCCCCTCAGTTAACCTCGGGTGATAAGAAACTTGGTCATTTACAACAACAAAAAAGTTTTGCAGTTGCTCTTCACTGGACATAATGATTTACCATTTAATTGTGTTTCCTGCTTTGCTAGGCATTGTTTAGAAGCAGGGATTAAGATTACCATGTGCATTTTCTCAGAAATATCAGCTGTGCACGTTTTCTCCCGATTTACAGGTGATTTAGTTCGAAAGTACATATTAATATATTTTCAGGGCATTTTCTGCAAGGTCAGAATAAATTGTACCTGAAACCATTAATATGTCACACAAAGAATCAAATGTAACATATGTGTGTGCTGGCGATTAGGTGCCTGACTCTGAGGGTGTGGGTTCGAATCCCGGATGGGACTCAACCCAAAAAGTACTAGAATATGTTACATTTGACCACTTTCTAAAATGGCATTGTGTATTTCATAACTTTCGGCCGTGGGAGCCGTGCCAATTAACACTCATCAGAGGGGTACACAAAGTCCGCAGTCTAGACTACCAGTTGTCCCACTTCCAGTTTTGTGGAAGCATGATGGATTGAGCGGTCTAGGCATCTGACTGTGTGCTGGCAATTAGAGTGCCTGACTCTGAGGGTGTGGAGTTCGAGAATCCTGGATGGGGAGTCAACCCAACAAAAGTACTAGAATCTGTACTTTGCTGAGAAAATGTAATCCCAAATATAACATATGTTAGATTCTTACACTGTTTTCAGGTTAAAAGATTTGAGGTTGTAAATGATGTAAGAATCTAAACTGAAAGCGTAACTCTATGCAATATATAAGCAGTTGTCATCCATAAAGTTGTATGCCTTATTCTTGACTCACCATATTCCAGAATGCCGATCAAACAATTAAACATGACCGTAATGCAGTACCAATCGACCAAACTATTGCTGGATATTGTTTAAGCAAGGAACAATTATATCAGTCACCATTCAGTTCAGAACAAGTCATGTTGGCAAATAATATTCAGGCTATACATATACAGATTTTAATGCTTCAAATATAATTACTAAATTTGTATCCATTTCTGTCAGCGTTCACTGAAAGGCATCACTACAGCTCATTCAGCTTGACCTGATCCAGTGAATACTAATGAATTGCATGACCGTGTCACAGATGGTTAGAGTCCTATTATTGTGAAGGGGTGCACCTTTGTCAGTTAATTGTCAACATGTCGAACAGCGAGACAAGGTCGCCGTTCCACATCTCAGGGTCGAGATATCGTCAGCAATATCCTAACTCTCTTTTAAAATGAAGCTAAAACATATTGCAGTTGAACATGGAAAGACAGAAAAGTGATAATTGAACTGGTTGTTGAGGTGACAGCGAAGTGAAACGGATTGAGAGAAAGTAACTGGCGTCTGTACACGTTGTAAAGTTAGTAAACCAAACTAAATAGCATATGACTGTATAAACAATTCAGTTAAAACATGAAATGATTGTTTTTCAAGTGTTGTTTTTTCGGGGGCAAGTTTAAGTAGCGAATCCATGTATGCATGTTTTGCACGAATGCAACATCAATAACATTCTTTGCTCCCCTATTTAATGAAGTCAACTCGACCTGCCGTTTGTGTCATTTGACCTCCCGGGGCATGCATATGTACAGTAGCTTAGGTCAAGCTGAACGAGCTGTAGTGAAGTAATCTCGTGTAAAATTCCCAGTGAGTTTGTGCTGTTTTGATAAACAATATATAATAAAATAAATCACACAGATCAATCAGATGTACAATGAATACTTTCTATAACTGGAACATGTGATATCAGGAACAAAATTAACACTGTTATCTCAAGATAACCACATGGTGGTCGCTGTCTGCAGAGTGGGACACAAAGGTGTATATTTTGCACTGTTGGTAATTGAAATTAACTGTCTGAATACAGAAAACAGATTTTAGGATAAAATAAGAATTTTATATACATATATATCATAAGTATTTTGTTTCACATAAATATGGTCTGTTAGGGAAGGTTTCCAGATAGCTGGGGTCCAGATAAGTGGGGTTCCACTGTGCTCCTTTAACAATTCCCTTTTTAATTTTCATTTCAAAAGGAACAATTATTATATATTTTCTGGCAGGAACATTTCTCTGTATCTTCATCCATCAGTTGAGAATCCGACCAAAATCACGGCTTTCATCACTGTTTACACTCAAATCTTTCACCTGTCATTTCCTTTGCTTAGGGAAAGAACTCACCAAGATGTCAGAGTAGAGATGGAAGTTCCATGCATGTGACAAGTTCACTGACTGAAGGAGCTGCACCCAGTTTAATCCTGTGACCTAACTGGATCCCTGCACGCTTCATGGAGCTATGGAACTGACACACACAAGAAGACTGCTTATACAAGTTTCACAAAACAAAATGGCAGAACCAATGTCAATGAAATCTTGTTCAGCCAAATTTCTATTCAGTGTTCAACTGGATCTCAATTTTTCACTCACAATTCATAGGAACTACAGTCAAATCCACAGGAGCAAACAGGTCTGTGGACAGTGTGTATGAAATAAGGCCCGTCTGACAGCCCGAGATGGGCTAGATTTCTGACCCGACGGTCTAAATTTACAGCTAGCCAGCCCGATGGTCTGGTAAAAATTATTGATGTTCCACATATCTGAGTAAATTCACCATATTTGGTCTAATTAAATCCATTTTGGGGTGGTAACATTTTGAGAGTTACCAGCACTGATGTCTGGCTGGTTTTTGGCTTATTTCATACACTGCTGTAGACCCAGGACTCTAGAACATAATCCTTTCAGGAAACAAATCTGCAAGAAAGGTTGTCAGACTGTGTACACACAAATGTCATATGATCATAAATTCAGCTCCAGATACCAGCAATTAGACTGGATCAGACTGGATCAGACTGGATATACATTGCAACTACGTCATTGCGGGAAGAGACACCAAGTACAAACTGAGTCATCCAAGTTCATGTGAGACGATCCACAGAGACACCAAGTACAGACTTCTTATGTTCTCGTTAACTGAAACCTGAACAAGAACCTTGCCCGTGATGATCCCACAAAACCATCACTTTCCTTGAACATCCTGAATACACACACACACATGCAAAACACAGCGTGGCTGTCACCATGATGACATCACAGCGTGGAGGAGCTGATGAAGGCAGCCTTGTGCTCAGCTCTGCTAGGAGTTTTGTGCTCTGCGAGAAGTCCATGGCTTCTCTTAATCTGGCTCGGCTGAAACAACACAAGTACAAGTAAGACTGGAGCCTAATCAAGTCACACCACAGATAGTGCTGTTGTCTAAATTCCACTGTACCATACACAGTCATTGGTTTTCAAATGATGGACTGCTGTTACATAAGTTTGCAATAGTTACTGGAATCACCTTAAGGCTACAAGCATTGTTTTAACATTAAACTGCAACATCCAGGAAGCGAGTGAAAAGAGATGCAGCTCCACTATATATCACAGATCTACAGCCTTCCACCGTACCAACAAGTTCAGTTGTCAAAATACACATCCAATCAAGATGAATTGAGTACAAAGATTCCTATTTCTTCAGAAACTGAGGAATAGCATGAAGCAGGACAATGAACTGTCCCCATCCATTAGGTACTAGCTATCAATCTTGGTATTTCTTTGACACATGGTTCAAATTTTATGCTTTATGAGAAGATTTCATGAAAAAAACCCAGTTTTTTCCAATTGTATTATATATTTTTTAAACATGTAGATTTTCAGTAGGACATAATGATAGTTTGCTAACCCCCTTCACAATGTTCTGTAACACTTTTTCGCTGTCATATTTCCATTTTACTTCAGTAATTTCAACATATCACTTTGTTTCAGGACTAGAAGTATTATAGTATTTGAAGTGGTTTCAGCATATTAAATAGTTCGTTTATTGGAGTAATTTATCTATACTAACTAGCTTCTATATTTTAAGTATTTCAGGAAATTCTGTTTTAATAATTAGCTTCATCACATAACACAGTTATAGTCTCTGAAGTACATTATGTAGTGTCAGCATTTCAAGTAGTTTCAGCATTTCAAGTAGTTTCAGCATTTCAAGTAGTTTCAGCATTTCAAGTAGTTTCAGCATTTCAAGTAGTTTCAGCATTTCAAGTGGTTTCAGTATTTCAAGTAGTTTCAGTATTTCAAGTAGTTTCAGTATTTCAAGATGGTTTCAGCATTTCAAAGTGGTTTCATTTATTTCAATTTCAAGTAGTTTCAATATTTCAAAGTAGTTTCAGCATTTCAAGTAGTTTCAGCATTTCAAGTAGTTTCAGTATTTCAAGTAGTTTCAGTATTTCAAGATGTTTCAGTATTTCAAGTAGTTTCAGCATTTCAAGTAGTTTCAGCATTTCAAGTAGTTTCAGTATTTCAAGTAGTTTCGGTATTTCAAGTAGTTTCAGTATTTCAAGATGTTTCAGTATTTCAAGATGTTTCAGTATTTCAAGTAGTTTCAGCATTTCAAGTAGTTTCAGCATTTCAAGATGTTTCAGTATTTCAAGTAGTTTCAGTATTTCAAGTAGTGTCAGCATTTCAAGTAGTGTCAGCATTTCAGGTAGTTTCAGTATTTCAAGTAGTGTCAGTATTTCAAGTAGTTTCAGTTTATTTCAAAGTGGTGTCAGCATTTCAAGTAGTTTCAGTTTCATTTCAAGTCAGTGTTTTCAATGTTTCAGTATTTCAAGATGTTTCAAGTATTTCAAGTTTCAGCATTTCAAAGTGTTTCAGTATTTCAAATGGTTTCAGTTTATTTCAAGTAGTGTATTTCCGTGTGTTTCAGCATTTCAAGTAGTTCGATCAGCATTTCAAGTAGTTTCAAGTGGTTTCAGCATTTATTTCAAGATGTTTCAAGTAGTTCAATTATTTCAAAGATGGTTTCAGTATTTCAAGTGGTTTCAGTATTTCAAGTAGTTTCAGCATTTCAAGTAGTGTTTCAGTATTTCAAGTAGTTTCAAGTATTTCAAGTAGTTTCAGTATTTCAAGATGTTTCAGTATTTCAAGATGTTTATTTCAGTAGTTTCAAGTAGTTTCATTATTTCAAGTAGTTTCAGCATTTCAAGATGGTTTCAGTATTTCAAGTAGTTTCAGTATTTCAAGTGGTTTCAGCATTTCAAGTAGTTTCAGCATTTCAAGTAGTTTCAGTATTTCAAGTAGTTTCAGCATTTCAAGTAGTGTCAGTATTTCAAGTAGTTTCAGTATTTCAAGTAGTTTCAGCATTTCAAGTAGTGTCAGCATTTCAAGTAGTTTCAGCATTTCAAGTAGTTTCAGCATTTCAAATGGTTTCAGTATTTCAAAGTAGTTTCAAGTATTTCAAGTAGTTTCAGTATTTCAAAGTAGTTTCAGTATTTCAAGTAGTTTCAGTATTTCAAAGTTTCATGTTTCAGTATTTCAAGTAGTTTCAGTATTTCAAAGTTTCAGTTTCAGTATTTCAGTATTTCAAGTAGTTTCAGTATTTCAAGTAGTTTCAGCATTTCAAGTTGTTTCAGTATTTCAAGTAGTTTCAGTATTTCAAGTAGTGTCAGCATTTCAAGTAGTGTCAGCATTTCAGGTAGTTTCAGTATTTCAAGTAGTTTCAGTATTTCAAGTAGTTGTCAAGTATTTCAGTATTTCAGTCAAAGTTTCAGTATTTCAAGTAGTGTCAGCATTTCAGCATTTCAAGTGGTTTCAAAGTGGTGTCAGTATTTCAAGTAGTTTCAGTATTTCAAGTAGTTTCAGTATTTCAAGATGTTTCAGCATTTCAAGTTGTTTCAGTATTTCAAGGAGTTTCAGCATTTCAAGATGTTTCAGTATTTCAGATGTTTCAGCATTTCAAGTTGTTTCAGTATTTCAAAGGGTTTCAGTATTTCAAGATGTTTCAGTATTTCAAGTTGTTTCAGTATTTCAAGTTGTTTCAGTATTTCAAGTTGTTTCAGTATTTCAAGTTGTTTCAGTATTTCAAGTAGTTTCAGCATTTCAAGTAGTTTCAGTATTTCAAGTAGTTTCAGCATTTCAAGATGTTTCAGTATTTCAAGATGTTTCAGTATTTCAAGTAGTTTCAGCATTTCAAGATGTTTCAGTATTTCAAGATGTTTCAGTATTTCAAGTAGTTTCAGTATTTCAAGTAGTTTCAGCATTTCAAGATGTTTCAGTATTTCAAGTTGTTTCAAGTATTTCAAGGGGTTTCAGCATTTCAAGTAGTTTCAGTATTTCAAGGAGTTTCAGCATTTCAAGATGTTTCAGTATTTCAAGTTGTTTCAGTATTTCAAGGAGTTTCAGTATTTCAAAGTAGTTTCTGTTTTTAAAAGTATACTGAACCACAAAAGAAATGTTGCACCGATAAGCGGTTTCTTAAAGCACACACTGTAATTCACTCCTAATTGAAGCGTTGCACCATCTGTACATGGAATGAATTAGTCAGTTGATGGAGTCCAGCCGTAGTTGTCAGCCTTGGTTGGGGTCACCAAGGTGTTCTATTTGATTCAAATGTGGACTGCAGGCCATTGTAGGGTTTGCATGCCATGTTGTCTAAGGGCGTCAATGTTGCTTTGGCAGTGTGGGCGCTGGCGTTTTCTTGCTGAAGATCACGATTTCTGTAATGTCAAAATGTGGTACAAGCGTGGGGTCTTCGACTTGGTCAATACAGCATGAGCAGCTGTCACTTCATTTCCTCATCCTGGACCAAGATTCTGGAACACCGCGGTGTCAACTAACTGTTCAGACCCGATTAAGCCCCACACCATGATGCTTGGACCACACCACGAGTATCTTTGAACAATACACTCCTTGGGAAACAGTTTCTGCGCCTTCACCATACCTCTCACTCTGCCGTCGACGTCCAAACACAATATCCGGCTTTCATAAGAAAAGGACAGTTCTCCATTGTTGATAATGCCAATTTCAATGCTGGAGTTGCCCATTGCAGTCAGTTTGTGCGGTGAGGATAGGACTATGACATTGTCTGTCACAGCAGAGGTTTCAACAGCATAAGCGTTGATGGACTAATATCAGCACTCATGGGTCTGCTGTGAGTCCCAATGGCCTGGCGTGCTGTTTCCATTAAGCTCTAGGAAGGCGATCCTGCAGTTGGTTGTGCTCAATCTGTCGGTCTTGGCGTTGTGATTTTACTGAAGGTCGCCCACTGTGTGGATGGTCTTGGATGCTGTTAGTGACCTGATACCACTCCTGCAGTGGTAGATGGTCCTAACATGAACATTAAAATGATTGGCAACCCTCCATTACAGTCTGGCCAACTTGCCTTCGTCCAAGACTTGCTTCCTCTGATCCCTTGTAGAATTAAGTGCCATGGTGATTGTGTCAAAGAAAAATGATTTCCAGGCGACTTTGGGACTTGCTTTCATTGGTGGGTTGTCCGCGACATGCACATGCATTTGCATTTTACAGTTACACGAACCTTCACCCGTCTGCCCTTTTAAGTGCGTTTTGTCGATATGCTTTTCATCAGACAAAAACACTGTTGTTAGTAATAACAGTCAATTTGGATTGAAAACATGTTAACAAAAGGATACAATCATTATAAATACACCACTTTGTAAGAACAAAATCTTACATTTGGTTTTGAAAGGCCCGCGTTTCTTTTTGTGGGTCAGTATAGTTTCAGGATTTCAAGTAGTTTCAATATTTCAAGCTGTATTTGAAGGTGTTTCCAGTATTGTAAGGAGTATCAATATAGCTTACTGTATATACTAATTATAAATGTACTTATTGTGTTTTGGTGACCTAAAATGTTCAGTCCATTTTTCTTGCTATGTGCATTATGAATGGAAGCAACAACACATACCTTCTGCTGGCTGAATGGCAACTGGTGGGAGACTGGAGACTAGATGTCCACTCTGGCAGTGATAGAGGTAGTGTCTCACAGGTGCCTTGCAGAGACTCAAATCTACGGAAATATTACATGCCCATTCAAGTTTTGATACAAGAAAACAGTTGCTTTAAAGATTTTTTACTCAGCTGTGTTTTACCAACATAATGTGCATCACATCCTCATTCAGAAGTTTGTATACAGTGTGTAGATGTTTCGAAAACATATACATGTATTTCTTGATGAGAATATGTAGTTAGGAAGACATTCTCAGATTTGAGTTGACCTACTTGTCTGCAATACTCTTCTCAAGACACTTGATTCCTCGGCATCGCCTTGAGTTGTGTGTCCATCTGGCCGTACACTTGACAACTGCAATACAACCACGTGTAACTATGCTGTCAATAACTAATGGTATTATCATAAACATGGCCAATATAAAACAGCATCATACACAACATGTGTAATGTTATCATCAGCAACACAACATGTGTAATGTTATCATCAGCAACACAACATGTGTAATGTTATCATCAGCAACACAACATGTGTAATGTTATCATCAGCAACACAACATGTGTAATGTTATCATCAGCAACACAACATGTAATGTTATCATCAGCAACACAACATGTGTAATGTTATCATCAGCAACACAACATGTGTAATGTTATCATCAGCAACACAACATGTGTAATGTTATCATCAGCAACACAACGTGTAATGTTATCATCAGCAACACAACATGTAATGTTATCATCAGCAACACAACATGTGTAATGTTATCATCAGCAACACAATGTGTGTAATGTTATCATCAGCAACACAACATGTGTAATGTTATCATCAGCAACACAACATGTGTAATGTTATCATCAGCAACACAACATGTGTAATGTTATCATCAGCAACACAACGTGTAATGTTATCATCAGCAACACAACGTGTAATGTTATCATCAGCAACACAACAACATGTGTAATGTTATCATCAGCAACACAACGCACGTAATGTTATCATCAGCAACACAACATGTGTAATGTTATCATAATGTTATTATCAGCAACACAACGTGTAATGTTATCATCAGCAACACAACATGTGTAATGTTATCATCAGCAACACAACGTGTAATGTTATCATCAGCAACACAACGTGTAATGTTATCATCAGCAACACAACGTGTAATGTTATCATCAGCAACACAACGTGTAATGTTATCATCAGCAACACAACGTGTAATGTTATCATCAGCAACACAACGTGTAATGTTATCATCAGCAACACAACATGTGTAATGTTATCATCAGCAACACAACATGTAATGTTATCATCAGCAACAACACAACGGTAATGTTATCATCAGCAACACAACATGTAATGTTATCACATCAGCAACACAACGCGTGTAATGTTATCATCAGCAACACAACATGTAATGTTATCATCAGCAACACAACATGTAATGTTATCATCAACAACAACATCAGCAACACAACACATGTGTAATGTTATCATCAGCAACACAACATGTGTAATGTTATCATCAGCAACACAACGTGTAATGTTATCATCAGCAACACAACATGTGTAATGTTATCATCAGCAACACAACATGTGTAATGTTATCATCAGCAACACAACATGTGTAATGTTATCATCAGCAACACAACATGTGTAATGTTATCATCAGCAACACAGCAATGTTATCATGTGTAATGTTATCATCAGCAACACAACGCATGTGTAATGTTATCATCAGCAACACAACATGTGTAATGTTATCATCACAAGCAACATCAACATGTAACGTAATGTTATCATCAGCAACACAACGTGTAATGTAATGTCAGTGTTATCATCAGCAACACAACGTGTAATGTTATCATCATCAACACAACGTGTAATGTTATCATCAGCAACACAACACGTGTAATGTTATCATCAGCAACACAACATGTAATGTGTAATGTTATTATCATCAGCAACACAACGTGTAATGTTATCATCAGCAACACAACATGTGTAATGTTATCATCAGCAACACAACGTGTAATGTTATCATCAGCAACACAACATGTGTAATGTTATCATCAGCAACACAACATGTGTAATGTTATCATCAGCAACACAACGTGTAATGTTATCATCAGCAACACAAATGTTTATCATCAGCAACACAACGTAATGTTATCATCAGTAATGTTATCATCAGCAACACAACATGTGTAATGTTATCATCAGCAACACAACATGTGTAATGTTATCATCAGCAACACAACATGTGTAATGTTATCATCAGCAACAACGTGTAATGTTATCATCGTAATGTTAATGTTATCATCAACACAAACGGTACATGTTATCATCAGCAACACAACATGTGTTATCATCAGCAACACAACATGTGTAATGTTATCATCAAGCAACACAACATGTAATGTTATCATCAGCAACACAACATGTGTAATGTTATCATCAACAACACATATTATTGTGTGTTGTTATCATCAAGTAATGTTATCACAACAAACGTGTAATGTTATCATCAGCAACACAACATGTAATGTTATCATCAGCAACACAACATGTGTAATGTTATCATCAGCAACACAACATGTGTAATGTTATCATCAGCAACACAACATGTTATCATGTAATGTTATCATCAGCAACACAACATGTGTAATGTTATCATCAGCAACACAACATGTAATGTTATCATCAGCAACACAACATGTGTAATGTTATCATCAGCAACACAACATGTGTAATGTTATCATCAGCAACACAACATGTGTAATGTTATCATCAGCAACACAACATGTGTAATGTTATCATCAGCAACACAACGTGTAATGTTATCATCAGCAACACAACGTGTGTAATGTTATCATCAGCAACACAACATGTGTAATGTTATCATCAGCAACACAACATGTGTAATGTTATCATCAGCAACACAACATGTACACAAATCGTTATCATCAGCAACACAACATGTAATGTTATCATCAAGCAACACAACATGTGTAATGTTATCATCAGCAACACAACACGGTAATGTTATCATCAGCAACACAACATGTAATGTTATCATCAGCAACACAACGTGTGTAATGTTATCATCAGCAACACAACATGTGTAATGTTTATCAACAGTGTAATGTTATCATCATCAACACAACGTGTAATGTTATCATCAGCAACACAACATGTGTAATGTTATCATCAGCAACACAACACGTGTAATGTTATCATCAGCAACACAACAACATGTGTAATGTTATCATCAGCAACACAACGTAATGTAATAATCATCATCAACACAACATGTAATGTTATCATCAGCAACACAACGTGTAATGTAATGTTATCATCAGCAACACAACATGTGTAATGTTATCATCAGCAACACAACACGTGTAATGTTATCATCAGCAACACAACGCGTGTAATGTTATCATCAGCAACACAACGTGTGTAATGTTATCATCAGCAACACAAATGTGTAATGTTATCATCAGCAACACAACATGTAATGTTATCATCAGCAACACAACATGTAATGTGTAATCAAAGCAACACGTTATCATCAGCAACAACAACGCGTTATCATGTACGTTATCATCAGCAACACAACGTGTTATCATCAGCAACACAACATGTGTAATGTTATCATCAGCAACACAACATGTGTAATGTTATCATCAGCAACACAACGTGTGTAATGTTATCATCAGCAACACAACGTGTGTAATGTTATCATCAGCAACACAACGTGTGTAATGTTATCATCAGCAACACAACGTGTAATGTTATCATCAGCAACAACAACAACGTGTAATGTTATCATCAGCAACACAACGTGTAATGTTATCATCATCAACACAACGCACGGTGTAAGTTATCAACACAACAACATGTGTAATGTTATCATCAGCAACACAACATGTGTAATGTTATCATCAGCAACACAACGTGTAATGTTATCATCAGCAACACAACACGTGTAATGTTATCATCATCAACACAACGTGTAATGTTATCATCAGCAACACAACATGTGTAATGTTATCATCAGCAACACAACGTGTGTAATGTTATCATCAGCAACACAACGTGTGTAATGTTATCATCAGCAACACAACGTGTGTAATGTTATCATCAGCAACACAACATGTGTAATGTTATCATCAGCAACACAACATGTGTAATGTTATCATCAGCAACACAACATGTGTAATGTTATCATCAGCAACACAACGTTGTGTAATGTTATCATCAGCAACACAACATGTGTAATGTTATCATCAGCAACACAACGTGTAATGTTATCATCAGCAACACAACATGTGTAATGTTATCATCAGCAACACAACGTGTGTAATGTTATCATCAGCAACACAACATGTGTAATGTTATCATCGTCAACAAAACACGGTAATGTTATCATCAGCAACACAACATGTGTAATGTTATCATCAGCAACACAACATGTGTAATGTTATCATCAGCAACACAACACACGTGTAATGTTATCATCAGCAACACAACATGTGTAATGTTATCATCAGCAACACAACGTGTGTAATGTTGTCATCAGCAACACAACGTGTGTAATGTTATCATCAGCAACACAACATGTGTAATGTTATCATCAGCAACACAACGTGTAATGTTATCATCAGCAACACAACATGTAATGTTATCATCAGCAACACAACTGTAATGTGTAATGTAATGTTATCATCAGCAACACAACATGTGTAATGTTATCATCAGCAACACAACACACATCAGCAACACAACGTGTAATGTTATCATCAGCAACACAAACATGTGTAATGTTATCATCAGCAACACAACGTGTAATGTTATCATCAGCAACACAACGTGTAATGTTATCATCAGCAACACAACGTGTAATGTTATCATCAGCAACACAACGTGTAATGTTATCATCAGCAACACAAACGTGTGTAATGTTATCATCAGCAACACAACATGTAATGTTATCATCAGCAACACAACATGTGTAATGTTATCATCAGCAACACAACGTGTGTAATGTTATCATCAGCAACACAACATGTGTAATGTTATCATCAACAACACAACAGCAACAACAACGTAATGTAATGTTATCATCAGCAACACAACGTGTGTAATGTTATCATCAGCAACACAACATGTGTAATGTTATCATCAGCAACACAACATGTGTAATGTTATCATCAGCAACACAACATGTAATGTTATCATCAACAACACGTAACGTGTAATGTTATCATCAGCAACACAAATGTGTAATGTTATCATCAGCAACACAACATGTGTAATGTTATCATCAGCAACACAACATGTGTAATGTTATCATCAGCAACACAACATGTAATGTTATCATCAGCAACACAACGTGTAATGTTATCATCAGCAACACAACATGTAATGTTATCATCAGCAACACAACATGTGTAATGTTATCATCAGCAACACATAACATGTAATGTTATCATCAGCAATAACAACATGTGTAATGTTATCATCATCAACACAACATGTAATGTATATCATCAGCAACACAACGTGTAATGTTATCATCAACAACACAATGCGTGTAATGTTATCATCAGCAACACAACATGTGTGTAATGTTATCATCAGCAACACAACGTGTAATGTTATCATCATCAACACAACATGTTATCATCAGTGTGTAATGTTATCATCAGCAACACAACATGTGTAATGTTATCATCAGCAACACAACGTGTAATGTTATCATCAGCAACACAACGTGTAATGTTATCATCAGCAACACAACATGTGTAATGTTATCATCAGCAACACAACATGTGTAATGTTATCATCAGCAACACAACGTGTAATGTTATCATCAGCAACACAACATGTGTAATGTTATCATCAGCAAGCAACACAACATCAGTGTAATGTTATCATCAGCAACACAACGTGTAATGTTATCATCAGCAACACAACATGTGTAATGTTATCATCAGCAACACAACGTGTAATGTTATCATCAGCAACACAACATGTGTAATGTTATCATCAGCAACACAACATGTGTAATGGTCATGCAACACATCATCAGCAACACAACACGTGTAATGTTATCATCAGCAACACAACGCGTGTAATGTTATCATCAGCAACACAACGTGTAATGTTATCATCATCAACACAACGCGTGTAATGTTATCATCAGCAACACAACATGTGTAATGTTATCATCAGCAACACAACGTGTAATGTTATCATCAGCAACACAACGTGTAATGTTATCATCAGCAACACAACGTGTAATGTTATCATCAGCAACACAACATGTGTAATGTTATCATCAGCAACAACATAATGTAATGTTATCATCAGCAACACACGTGTAATGTTATCATCAGCAACACAACGTGTAATGTTATCATCAGCAACACAACATGTGTAATGTTATCATCAGCAACACAACACGTGTAATGTTATCATCAGCAACACAACATGTGTAATGTTATCATCAGCAACACAACGTGTAATGTTATCATCAGCAACACAACGTGTAATGTTATCATCAGCAACACAACATGTGTAATGTTATCATCAGCAACACAACACGTGTAATGTTATCATCAGCAACACAACGTGTAATGTTATCATCAGCAACACAACATGTGTAATGTTATCATCAGCAACACAACATGTGTAATGTTATCATCAGCAACACAACATGTGTAATGTTATCATCAGCAACAACAACATGTAATGCGTGTAATGTTATCATCAACACGCAACACAACATGCGTGTAATGTTATCATCAGCAACACAACACGTGTAATGTTATCATCAGCAACACAACACAACGTGTAATGTTATCATCAGCAACACAACATGTAATGTTATCATCAGCAACAACACGTGTGTAATGTTATCATCAGCAACACAACATGTGTAATGTTATCATCAGCAACACAACATGTGTAATGTTATCATCAGCAACACAACATGTGTAATGTTATCATCAGCAACACAACACAATGTGTAATGTTATCATCAGCAACACAACACGTGTAATGTTATCATCAGCAACACAACACGTGTAATGTTATCATCAGCAACACAACATGTGTAATGTTATCATCAGCAACACAACATGTAATGTTATCATCAGCAACACAACATGTAATGTTCATCATCAAGCAACACATGTAATGTTATCATCAGCAACACAACATGTGTAATGTTATCATCAGCAACACAACATGTGTAATGTTATCATCAGCAACAACACAACGTGTAATGTTATCATCAGCAACACAACATGTGTAATGTTATCATCAGCAACACAACATGTAATGTTATCATCAGCAACACAACATGTGTAATGTTATCATCAGCAACACAACACATCAGCAACACAATGTGTATCATGTTATCAACAGCGCCAACACAACGTGTAATGTTATCATCACAACATCAGCATCACAACAACGCGCAATGTATCATGTTATCATCACGGTAAATCATCAGCAACACAACGTGTAATGTTATCATCAGCAACACAACATGTATAATGTTATCTTCAGCAACACAACGTGTAATGTTATCTTCAGCAACACAAGGTGTAATGTTATCATCAACAACACAACATGTGTAATGTTATCATCAACAACACAACATGTATAATGTTATCTTCAGCAACACAACGTGTAATGTTATCTTCAGCAACACAACGTGTAATGTTATCATCAACAACACAACATGTGTAATGTTATCATCAACAACACAACACGTGTAATGTTATCATCAGCAACACAACGTGTAATGTTATCATCAAAAACACAACATGTGTTATGTTATCATCAGCAACACAAGATTGCAGTCAATATGTGATGTACTTACTGCTGGATGCGGACATCGGTCTCATGAGTGGAGCAGACTTAACACTCTGGCGCTTCACATGTGCCTGGAAGATGACAAACACAAGAGTTGCAACTATAGATGTGAGACATAGATAGTTTGTAATCAGAGACGTACTGAGAACACATCTGAGGAATGACACACACAGTGGGATGAACCTACCCCATCCACTACCTCTATGTTGGGCACGACTGTCTGTATCGTGTAGTGGTAGTGGGGCATTTCTCCATCTTCCATTGTCACTGGGTTTCCACTCAGTGAGATCTCCACAAGCTCCTTCATCATCCCCAGATCACTCTGAAACACACATACACATATTGAAGTCACAACAAGAACACAAAAACACACATTGAAGTCACAATAGGAACACACATACACACACTGAAGTAACAACAGGAACACACAAACAAAACAATGAAGTCACCATGGGAACACACGTACACATTGAAGTCACAATAGGAACACACATAAACACATTGAAGTCACAATGGGAACACACGTACACACATTGACGTCACAATAGGAACACACATAAACACATTGAAGTCAAAACAGGAACACACATACACACAAGTCACAATGGGAACACACATACACACATTGAAGTCAAAACAGTAACACATACACACACTGAAGTCACCATGGGAACACACAATCACATTGAAGTCACAATAGGAACACACATACACACATTGAAGTCTAAACAGTGGGAACACACATACACACATTGAAGTCACAATAAGAACACACATAACCACATTGAAGTCACAATGGGAACACACATTCACACACTGAAGTGACAATGGGAACACACAAACACACATTGAAGTCACAATGGGAACACACATACACACATTGAAGTCACAAGTGGAACACACATTCACACACTGCAGTGGGAGGGAGATCACACATCCACACACTGCAGTGACAGTTCACACATTCACACACTGCAGTGACAGGGAGATCACACATCCACACACTGCAGTGGGAGGGAGACCACACATCCACACACTGCATTGACAGGTTCACACACATTCACACACTGCAGTGACAGGGAGATCACACATCCACACATTGCAGTGGGGAGACCACACATCCACACACTGCAGTGACAGGGAGATCACACATCCACACACTGCAGTGAGAGGAAGATCACACATCCACACACTGCAGTGACAGGGAGATCACACATCCACACACTGCAGTGACAGGGAGATCACACATCCACACACTGCAGTGGGGAGACCACACATCCACACACTGCAGTGACAGGGAGATCACACATCCACACACTGCAGTGGGGAGACCACACATCCACACACTGCAGTGACAGGGAGATCACACATCCACACACTGCAGTGAGAGGTAGATCACACATCCACACACTGCAGTGAGAGGTAGATCACACATCCACACACTGCAGTGAGAGGTAGATCACACATCCACACACTGCAGTGAGAGGTAGATCACACGTCCACACACTGCAGTGAGAGGTAGATCACACATCCACACACTGCAGTGAGAGGTAGATCACACATCCACACACTGCAGTGAGAGGTAGATCACACATCCACACACTGCAGTGAGAGGTAGATCACACGTCCACACACTGCAGTGAGAGGAAGATCACACATCCACACACTGCAGTGAGAGGTAGATCACACATCCACACACTGCAGTGAGAGGAAGAACACACATCCACACACTGCAGTGGGAGGGAGACCACACATCCACACACTGCAGTGGGGAGACCACACATTCACACACTGCAGTGAGAGGTAGATCACACGTCCACACACTGCAGTGGGAGGGAGACCACACATCCACACACTGCAGTGGGGAGACCACACATCCACACACTGCAGTGACAGGGAGATCACACATCCACACACTGCAGTGGGAGGGAGACCACACATTCACACACTGCAGTGAGAGGAAGAACACACATCCACACACTGCAGTGGGAGGGAGACCACACATCCACACACTGCAGTGGGGAGACCACACATCCACACACTGCAGTGACAGGGAGATCACACATCCACACACTGCAGTGACAGGGAGATCACACATCCACACACTGCAGTGACAGGGAGATCACACATCCACACACTGCAGTGACAGGGAGATCACACATCCACACACTGCAGTGGGAGGGAGACCACACATCCACACACTGCAGTGAGAGGAAGAACACACATCCACACACTGCAGTGGGAGGGAGACCACACATCCACACACTGCAGTGGGGAGACCACACATCCACACACTGCAGTGACAGGGAGACCACACATCCAGACACTGCAGTGGGGAGACCACACATCCACACACTGCAGTGACAGGGAGATCACACATCCACACACTGCAGTGACAGGGAGATCACACATCCACACACTGCAGTGGGAGGGAGACCACACATTCACACACTGCAGTGAGAGGAAGAACACACATCCACACACTGCAGTGGGAGGGAGACCACACATCCACACACTGCAGTGGGGAGACCACACATCCACACACTGCAGTGACAGGGAGATCACACATCCACACACTGCAGTGAGAGGAAGAACACACATTCACACACTGCAGTGAGAGGAAGATCACACATCCACACACTGCAGTGGGAGGGAGACCACACATCCACACACTGCAGTGGGAGGGAGACCACACATCCACACACTGCAGTGGGAGGGAGACCACACATCCACACACTGCAGTGAGAAGATCACACATCCACACACTGCAGTGGGAGGGAGACCACACATCCACACACTGCAGTGGGAGGGAGACCACACATCCACACACTGCAGTGGGAGGGAGACCACACATCCACACACTGCAGTGGGAGGGAGACCACACATTCACACACTGCAGTGAGAGGTAGATCACACATCCACACACTGCAGTGGGAGGGAGACCACACATCCACACACTGCAGTGGGAGGGAGACCACACATCCACACACTGCAGTGGGAGGGAGACCACACATCCACACACTGCAGTGGGAGGGAGACCACACATCCACACACTGCAGTGGGAGGGAGACCACACATCCACACACTGCAGTGGGAGGGAGACCACACATCCACACACTGCAAGAAGCTGAGTCAGGTATTCTGATCTACAAACAGGTGAGAGAAAAGTGACAGGTGACGGGTGTTTTGGATGAACCAAACAGCCTGGATGAGTCAGGTGAGACACGTGAGTCAGTTGAATCTGGTGAGTCATGTGAGTCTGGTGAGTCAGGTGACCTGGTTGTTCTGGTGAGTCAGGTGAGTCAGTTGACCTGGTTGTTCTGGTGAGTCAGGTGAGTCAGTTGACCTGGTGGTTCTGGTGAGTCTGGTGAGTCAGGTATGTCAGATGAGTAAGGGAGTCTGGTGAGGCAGGTATGTCAGATGAGTCTGATGAAACTGGTAAGTAGAGTGAGTTGGGTGAGTTTGGGGAATCAAATGAGGTGACAGTTACCACATCTTGCCAGGTGTCCAGGGAATTATCACAGATACTGAGAATCTGAAGTCGAGGAAATATCTGGGCGAAGTAGGACAGCTCGCTCAGCTTGTTGTGGGACACATTCAGGTCCTCCAGAGATCTGAAACATCAGTAACCAGAGATCTGAAACATCAGTAACCAGAGATCTGAAACATCAGTAACCAGAGATCTGAAACATCAGTAACCAGAGATCTGAAACATCAGTAACCAGAGATCTGAAACATCAGTAACCAGAGATCCGAAACATCAGTAACCAGAGATCTGAAACATCAGTAACCAGAGATCTGAAACATCAGTAACCAGAGATCTGAAACATCAGTAACCAGAGATCTGAAACATCAGTAACCAGAGATCCGAAACATCAGTAACCAGAGATCCGAAACATCAGTGACCAGAGATCTGAAACATCAGTAACTAGAGATCTGAAACATCAGTAACATCAGTAACTAGAGATCTGAAACATCAGTAACCAGAGATCTGAAACATCAGTAACCAGAGATCTGAAACATCAGCAACCAGAGATCTGAAACATCAGTAACCAGAGATCTGAAACATCAGTAACCAGAGATCTGAAACATCAGTAACCAGAGATCTGAAACATCAGTGACCAGAGATCTGAAACATCAGTAACCAGAGATCTGAAACAACATAAATAACTAGAAATCTTAAGCAAACCAAGTAAGTAGGAATATGGAAATAACTCACACCAAGATCACCACTCGGAAGAGAGGGTTATGTGCAGGTGTAAAACAGCTGCCAACAGTTGTTGTATTTATAAACATGTAGATGCCAGGACACTCTATGATATTGGATGCTATGAAATAACTGTACCTGAGCTTTCCAAGACTCCGCAGACTGGTCAGCTGGTTACTAGAAACATCAAGGATCTGAAACAACATCAACATTTGGAATTTGTGGAGTGCTGCTACATGACCTAGAGAGACAGTGGGATGGGAATAGAATCTTTACATTATAAAGAACTATAATCCCAAATATAACATAGGTTACATTTGACCACTTTCTAAATGGCATTGTGTATTCATAGCTTTCGGAAATGGGAGCCATGCCAATTTACACTCATCAGAGGGGTACACGAAGTCTGAGTCTAGACTACCAGTTGTCCCACTGCCATTTTTTGGAAGTCGCAGTGGCTGAGCGGGTTAAGTGGCTGACTATGTGCTGGCGATTAGGTGCCTGACTCTGAGGGTGTGAGTTCGAATCCCGGATGGGACTCCAACCAACAAAAGTACGAGAATCTAAACTTTACTAAGAAAGCGTAATCCCATATAAAATATATATGTTACATTTGACCACTTTCTAAATGGCATTGTGTATTAATGAAATATAATCTGTAAACTGATAACAATGGTAATTCACTATTACTTGTTAAATAACAACTCGGAAATGGTAATATTTACTATTACTTGTTAAATAACAACTGGGAGATGGTAATTCACTATTACTTGTTAAATAACAACTTGGAAATGGTAATTCACTATCACTTGTTAAATAACAACTGGATGATGGTAATTCGCTATTACTTGTTAAATAACAACTAGAAGATGGTAATTCACCATAACTTGTTAAATAACAACTGGGAAATGGTAATTCACCATAACGTGTTAAATAACAACTTGGAAATGGTAATTCACTATTATGTGTTAAATAACAACTGGGAGATGGTAATATTTACTATTACTTGTTAAATAACAACTGGGAGATGGTAATATTTACTATTACTTGTTAAATAACAACTGGGAGATGGTAATATTTACTATTACTTGTTAAATAACAACTGGGAGATGGTAATATTTACTATTACTTGTTAAATAACAACTGGGAGATGGTAATATTTACTATTACTTGTTAAATAACAACTGGGAAATGGTAATTCACTATTGCTTGTTAAATAACAACTGGAAGATGGTAATATTTACTATTACTTGTTAAATAACAACTGGGAGATGGTAATATTTAATATTACTCATTAAATAACAACTGGGAGATGGTAATTCACTATTACTTGTTAAATAACAACTGGAAGATGGTAATTCACTATTACTTGTTAAATAACAACTGGGAAATGGTATTTCACTATTACTTGTTAAATAGCAACTGGAAGATGGTAATTCACTATTACTTGTTAAATAACAACTGGGAAATGGTAATTCACTATTACTTGTTAAATAACAACTTGGAAATGGTAATTCACTATTATGTGTTAAATAACAACTGGAAGATGGTAATACACCAATACTTGTTAAAGTTACAATTAGGAGATGGTAATTCACCATTACTTGTTAAAGTAGCAACTGGAAGATGGTAATTCACTATTACTTGTTAAAAAACAACTGGAAGATGGTAATTCACTATTACTTGTTAAATAACAACTTGGAAATGGTAATTCACTATTACTTGTTAAATAACAACTGGAAGATGGTAATTCACTATCACTTGTTAAATAACAACTGGGAAACGGTTATTTACTATCACTTGTTAAATAACAACTGGAAGATGGTAATTCACTATTACGTGTTAAAGTTACAATTAGGAGATGGTAATTCACCATTACTTGTTAAAGTAGCAACAGGAAAATGGTAATTCACTATTACTTGTTAAAGTTACAATTAGGAGATGGTTATACACCATTACTTGTTAAATAACAACTGGGAAACGGTAATTCACTATCACTTGTTAAATAACAACTGGGAAATGGTAATTCACTATTACTTGTTAAAGTTACAATTAGGAGATGGTAATTCACTAGTACGTGTTAAAGTTACAATTAGGAGATGGTAATTCACCATTACTTGTTAAAGTAGCAACAGGAAAATGATAATTCACTATTACTTGTTAAATAACCAACTGGAAGATGGTAATTTACTATTACATGTTAAAGTAACAATTAGGAGATGGTAATTCGACATTACTTGTTAAAGTACCAACAGGAAGATGGTAATTCACTATTACTTGTTAGAGTAACAACTGGACAATGGTACTTCACTATTACTTGTGAAATAACAACTTATTGATAGCAATAAATGCGACATTTCGGTGTAGATGCTAACTCCATTTTACAGCAGATTACACACAACATCATGCACAAGGAGAATATATACATGAAGAAGTAACCTGAGCTTACACCAATGAGGAGGTTGATGTACAGAGCGATGACAATACTGACGGTTGTTGTGATGACAGATAATGACTATGAAGCCAGTTGGACTTAGTAGGGTTACGCTTGGACCCTGATCTCTGTTGTTGTCCTTGAGTAGACGCTTGGACGGCCTTGAAAAGATGATGGTATACTGTAGAGATGTAATAACCCTGATCTCTGTTGTTGTCCTTGATTAGATGATGGTAAGCAGTATAGGATGTAATAACCCTGATCTCTGTTGTTGTCCTTGATAAGATGATGGTAAGCAGTAGGGATGTAATAACCCTGATCTCTGTTGTTGTCCTTGATTTCTGTTGTTGTCCTTGATTAGATGATGGTAAGCAGTAGGGATGTAATAACCCTGATCTCTGTTGTTGTCCCAGTAGGGATGATAACCCGGATCTGTTGTTGTCCTTGATTAGATGATGGTAAGCAGTAGGGATGTAATAACCCTGATTTCTGTTGTTGTCCTTGATTAGATGATGGTAAGCAGTAGGGATGTAATAACTCTGATTTCTGTTGTTGTCCTTGATTAGATGATGGTAAGCAGTAGGGATGTAATAACCCGGATCTCTGTTGTTGTCCTTGATTAGATGATGGTAAGCAGTAGGGATGTAATACCCCTGATCACTGTTGTATTCCTTGATTAGATGATGGTAAGCTGTAGAGATGTAATAACCCGGATCTCTGTTGATTGTTGGGTTGGGTTATTGGGTGCCTCTAAGAATCTTTTAACTTGTAGTCTAATGGGTAGGCTTGAAGGATGTTGTTGTTGCTCCACAGGATGGTATGGCTACCAAAGGATGGAATGGCTACCAAAGGATGTAATGGTTAGGGTAGGCTTTGGTTTGGTGGGTAATGCCGCTGACTTAGAATCTTTCCCTTAGTCCCTTAGTGCATGAGGGGTAGTCTTTGTTGGTTGTGGCTGGTTTACCAGGGGCTTGTAGAATGTTCTGATTTGATTTTCCTTAGTAGATCACAACATCTATGTTGGCTTCACTAGGTTGGGTGGATACTGACTAAAATTTATGAAGACATAAATGTTTTAACTCAAGTTAAAGGAGTTGGGTTGTGGAACTGACATTCTTGACTAAGTAACTTAATACGATATCTTTTAATTTTATTATATACACTAATCTATCTAGCTCTATTGCAGCATAAAGTTTATTATCTACCATCTTGCTCTTTAGCAGCTAGCTATGGAACTTCAATGGACTATTGAATTCTATTTAATAATCTATCTATGTCCTGCTTGGACAAGCTAATGGTACGAAATGTGATGAGCTGTCACCTAACTTAAATAACACCTGAACTCAATAAAAGTCCAAACTCAAGTCAGACCATCACCCATTTAAACTCAAGTGCCCCGATTCAATCGTTTCCCGCACATGAACAGTAATACTCCATAGGTTTCTGCATGGTGCGGTACGAAGCCTCTGATGAACTAAAGCCACCATCAGGGTGAGGGTCATAGCTCCTGGTATGGTATACTGAAGTCTCCATAAAGAACAAGGTCATAGCTACTGGTCGGATAAACTGAAGCCACAATCAGGAATAGGGTCATAGCTGCTGGTCTGATAAACTGAAGCAACCATCAGGGTGAGGGTCATAGCTACTGGTCTGATAAACTGAAGCCACCATCAGGGTGAGGGTCATAGCTACTGGTCTGATAAACTGAAGCCACCATCAGGAATAGGGTCATAGCTACTGGTCTTATAAACTGAAGCCACCATCAGGAATAGGGTCATAGCTACTGGTCTGATAAACTGAAGCCACCATCAGGAATAGGATCATAGCTACTGGTCTGATAAACAGAAGCCACCATCAGGGTGGGGGTCATAGCTACTGGTCTGGTAAAGTGAAGCCACCATCAGGGTGAGGGTCATAGCTACTGGTCTGGTAAAGTGAAACCACCATCAGGGTGAGGGTCATAGCTACTGGTCTGATAAACTAAAGCCACCATCAGGGTGAGGGTCATAGCTACTGGTCTGACACACTGAACCCACCATCAGGAATAGGATCATAGCTACTGGTCTGATAAACAGAAGCCACCATCAGGGTGAGGGTCATAGCAACTGGTCTGATAAACTGAAGCCACCATCAGGGTGAGGGTCATAGCTACTGGTCTTATAAACTGAAGCCACCATCAGGAATAGGGTCATAGCTACTGGTCTTATAAACTGAAGCCACCATCAGGAATAGGGTCATAGCTACTGGTCTGGTAAAGTGAAGCCACCATCAGGGTGAGGGTCATAGCTACTGGTCTGATAAACTGAAGCAACCATCAGGGTAAGGGTCATAGCTACTGGTCTGATAAACTAAAGTCACCCTCTGGGTGAGGGTCATAGCTACTGGTCTGATAAACTGAAGCCACCCTCTGGGTGAGGGTCATAGCTACTGGTCTGATAAACTAAAGCCACCCTCTGGGTGAGGGTCATAGCTACTGGTCTGATAAACTGAAGCCACCATCAGGGTGAGGGTCATAGCTACTGGTCTGATAAACTAAAGCCACCCTCTGGGTGAGGGTCATAGCTACTGGTCTGATAAACTAAAGCCACCCTCTGGGTGAGGGTCATAGCTACTGGTCTGATAAACTAAAGCCACCCTCTGGGTGAGGGTCATAGCTTCTTGTCTGATAAACTGAAGCCACTATTAGGGTGACGGTCAAGGCCACTGGTCTGCCGAACCCCCATGCACCACATTCTGGCTACTGGGCTATTGCAAGCATCC